TTCTCCGTATGTGTCACGATCTGTCTGTGTTGTGTTTTGTGTTGTTTAGATCTGTCTTTGGTTTCCTGTCTGTGTGTGTTCCCTCATACCTGTTTACTTGATTGTGCTCACCTGTTGCCCCTGTGTTTTCTCCTCCCTCCTCACCTGTCTCTTGTTTCATTGATTAGTCTTGTGTGTATTTAAGTTCTGTTTTTGCTGTCTGTCATTGTTGGTTCGTCTTTTGTTTGTGACTGAGTTCACCGGTGAGTGTTCTGTTTTGTCCTAGTATTTTTTCGTTATCCTTGAAATAAAGGCATTTTCAGCGTTATCTGCATTTGGGTCCTGCTTGCTTCACCCACCGTAACAGAACCAACCAACCAAGAAATGGACCCAGCAGATGATCCATTTGAGGTGGAATTACAAAAAAATTCCTTTTATTTGGCTTGCTGCTATGATTGGTGGAAGGGAGCGTCCAGGTTGGCTATGGAGAAACCAGGCTTGGTGAAATTCTTACCTGGCTGGATTTTGAACTTCCTCTGGGTGTGTGATTTCCAGCCTGCTGACTACAAACGTCTCGGTGTGTTCCGTCCGGAGTCAACCCCTGCTTCTTCCCCATGTCCTGCTCCTGTCCAGGAGCCGTTCTCTAGAACTCGTCTGGCTTTTGGAGGTCCACGAAGCCTCCAAACGGCTCCTAAAAGAAGGAGTCGCAAGGCCAGGCTAGCAGCCCGAGCCCCAAGAGCCATGGTTCCGTCCCAAGTTCTGGCCCCAGCAGCCATGGTTCCAGACCCAGTTCTGGCCCCAGCAGCCATGGTCCCGGCCCCAGTTCTGTCCCCGGCAGCCATGGTTCCAGACCCAGTTCTGTCCCCGGCAGCCATGGTTCCAGACCCAGTTCTGGCCCCGGCAGCCATGGTCCCGGCCCCAGCGGCCATGGTTCCAGACCCAGCTCTGGCTCCAGCTGCCATAGTCCCATCTCTAGTCCCATCTCTGGTCCCTTCTCTAGTCTCTTCTCGAGTCCTAACTCAAGTCCCTTCTCTAGTCCCCTCTCTGGTCCCCTCTCTCTTCTCGAGGTCCCTCCTCTAGTCCCTTCTCTAGTCCCTTCCCTAGTCCCTCCTCAGGTCACTTCCCTAGTCCCTTCTCTAGTCCCATCTCTAGTCCCTTCTCCAGTCCCTCCTTTAGTCACTTCTCTAGTCTCTTCTCCAGTCCCTCCTTTAGTCACTTCTCTAGTCCCAACTCTAGTCCCATCTCGAGTTCCCTCTCGAGTTCCCTCTCGAGTCCCCTCTCCAGTTTCTTCTCAAGTCCCCTCTCAAGTCCCCTCTCAAGTTCCCTCTCAAGTTCCCTCTCGAGTTCCCTCTCGAGTTCCCTCTCAAGTCACCTCTCGAGTTCCCTCTCAAGTCACCTCTCGAGTTCCCTCTCAAGCCCTCTCTCGAGTCCCCTCTCGAGTTCCCTCTCCAGTCCCTACTCAAGTTCCTACTCAAGTCCCAACTCAAGTTCCTACTCAAGTCCCAACTCAAGTCCCTACTGAAGTGCCATTGGAGGTTCCGCTGGGGGTCCTGCCAACTCCATGTCCTGTCCCGTTGGGGGTCCCGCCGACTACTCTTCTGCCGGGGGTCCTGCCAACCCTTTGTCCTGTGCCGTTGGAGGTCCCGCCGACTACTCTTCTGCCGGGGGTCCTGCCAACCCTATGTCCTGTGCCGTTGGAGGTTCCGCTGGGGGTCCTGCCAACTCCATGTCCTGTGTCGTTGGGGGTTCCGCTGAGAGTCCTGCCAACCCCATGTCCTGTTCCGTTGGAGGTCCCGCTGAGAGTCCTGCCAATTCCATGTCTTGTTCCGTTGGAGGTCCCGCCGTCACCAATCTCGCCGGGGGTCCTGCCAACTCCTGGTCCTCTTCCGTGGGGGATCCTGCCGAAGCCTGTCCCACCGGCTCCGGTTCCTGTCCGGCCGACACCGGGTCCTTCCCGGCCTCCGGAGCTGTCCCATCAGCGCCTTCCTGCCCGTCCTCCGGAGTTGTCCCGTCGCCGCCCTCGAGCCTGGCCCCCTGAGAGCCGCGGTCTTTGCCTTCGAGCCCGGCCCCCTTCGAGCCGCGGTCTTCGCCCTCGAGCCCGGCCCCCTGAGAGCCCCGGCCCTCTGAGAGCCGCGGTCTTCGCCCTCGAGCCCGGCCTCCTGAGTGCCACGGCCTTCGCCCTCATGCTCGGGCCCCCTGAGTTCGCCCGCTGTGGTCTACACCCCTCCATGGACTCTGCCTTGCCCCCGGGCCGTCCGCCCGAGACCCCCTCCATGGTCTCTGCCTTGCCCCCTGGCCGTCCGCCCGAGACCCCCACCATGGACTCTGCCTTGCCCCCGGGCCGTCCGCCCGAGACCCCCACCATGGTCTCTGCCTTGCCCCTGGGCCGTCCGCCCGAGATCCCTTCCGGGCCCTCCGCTGTGCTCCTGGGCTGTCAGCCCAGGCCCGTCCTCCTGACCCCCTCCACCCACCCTGGTGGTCCTAGTTTTGTGTAGTGTGAGGGAATAATTTTGTCTTTACTCCTAGATATTTAACCTTATTGCCTGTTGACGTTAAAAACCAACCAATATTATGTTATCTCCTTTAAGGAATGTGCTCCAGCACTTAAGTGTCAGTTTTATGGCCTGATAGGGGGGTTTACGACTGTGAGAATGCTGGCTTCTAAACACCACTGACAAGTGATTGAGTATTTCCAGTTGGGGGATATCTCCTGTAGCTCCACAGATGTTTACGCCTCCCCCAATATGCTGATTAACTCTGTGTAAAATAGTTACAAGGTCTATCGAGAGATAGGCTGGGCAGAATTGACATGACAACCCACCCGTGCAGTCAGAACCTTTTGCTGCTGTGACTTGTGATATGAATTCTCCGGCCGTTGACTTGTAATAAACTACCAGTGTTTGACATCAAAGCTCCAACTCTCCTCGTGTCTCTCTGAGTCCTGACTCTCCATTGCTGCAGAAGTTTCCCTTACATATATTATATTTTAAAATATTTTAAAATCTTTAATGGCTGATTAATTTGAATGTTTATAGAGTAACTGGTACAAACCTTAGGGAACCGTGGAAATATTGTTAGTTTATCCCAAAAACAATTACATTCTTACATATCACTACTGGAGACACTGTTGGTTTTATGTTTTGATAAATAATATGGACCTTTTAAACTCTTACTGGCCCAAATGTTTATTCTAATGCTTCTACATAAAGCCTTCAACTAAAATTAAAAGTTCAGCTAGGTCAATAAAAGTTATATTTGTTTTAATACTTTAACTTACCATTTTGTGACACCTTATTATTTGGGGTTTACATTAAATAACCCTTAATTACAGTTTTTAAAATAAAATCAACACTATAAAAATCATGACAAGAGGAAAATAATACGATTCAATAATACAAATAAACTAGAGAATGCAATTCCTGAAGAAATGGCTAGTGGGAATGCTTTATGCTGAAAAGCTGACGCTGAATTTCTATGCTGAAATGTAATGTGTAAGAAGAAAATGAAGAATTTAGATTGAAATGATACATGAACACTGGAGGCTTGAATGTGTGATGAGAGAAGAAAAGAAAGTAAAAAGGCTTGGAAAAGCAGCAGAATATTTGAACTGCAAACTTTTGAAGTAACTTGATGGTGAATGATCTATCGCCATGGCAACTGCATTTGATGACACCCCATAATGCGCTTAGATGTGTTGATGGCTGCATCGTTACCAGACCTGTGAAGTTTTAGGCCATTTCGAGCATTTTCACTGAAGTTTTGAGAAAACCGTATTTCATAGTGAGCATTGTGTTGCCAAGGCAACGGCATTTGAAGAAATCTTAAAACTGTCAAATAGATGTCTTCACGGCTGGACTGTTAGCACACATGTGAAGTTTGAGCACTTTTTGACCATTTTCATAGGAGTTATAGCAATATCGTGTTTTAAGGCGAGGAATGCGTTGCCATGGCAACAGCTTTTGAGGAAAACTCCCAAATGGCACATAGACATGTTGAAGGCTGGACCATTAACCATTATCTGAAGTCTGCTGCTCTGAGCATGTCAGTTGGAGTTATGACATCATCGTGTTCCATGACACAGGGGTTTATATTTGAGCTAACGGCGTGTCCAGAGATCAAAGGTTTCCATGGTGATGTGCAGTAATCAGTGAGAGGAGAGCATTTGCATTGTTCTGAATGAGAGGTAAATCTCTTACATGTGAACGTTTTGGTGAAGAACCGTAACAGATATCGGTGAAATTTCAACGCGTGAAGCATCTGAAGGAAATTGAGCAGCTGAAGTGTGCTTTTTGTGTACTTTCGGGTTAATAATGTGGCCTTTTTGGCAGATTAACTAAAGGTGTGCGGCTAATGCTGTGAGTAAAGATCAGCTTGAATTTACAATTGGCTTTAATGGAGACATGTTGAACGTTTTTGTCACTTCATGCCCTCAAGAGGCATTTTGTTTCATTATTTTGCTTAATTTTTCAAACTACGAGACGTTTTCCTACGTTTGTCATGACAAATTATGTCTCAGGAGTGTAGGGTTTGGGAATTATGGCAGGTTTAAAAAAAGTATATGAAGGCGAATTTCAAGCTGTCCTCCACTCTAGCTTTGAGATCACACACCTTAACGAGCTGCTCAATACACACTAATGTTAAAATCTGAAGAAGGCCTCTTTACCAAGGTCTGAACAATGTTTAATATTTTTAAAAGTATGAATCAGATTTAAAAGTTGTTTAACATGAATAATCTCAGAAAGATGTGTAACATCTGAAGGGTTTCTCCATTGACTTCAATGTTAAAGATTTGATGAATTATGGGATGTATCTCTGGAATTATGAAGGTTATGAATAAGAAAAGTAATAGCCATCGATTCCCGACCGAGCTGAACGTTTTGATCTTCAAACGGAGTTTCTGCGATGTGGAATGTGGGAGAAGAAGAGGCGCAAAATAACCCAGCGGAATAATAAAGAATTTTGTGCGTCGAATAACAGATAGTTGGAATGCTGTATCAGCATTCCCACTAAATAATCATTTTCACTCACAAATCTTCAGTACAAAGTGAGAGCATAATTCAAGACTATTTATTCACTACATTACTTTAGCAGATACAGTATAATATATTTATCCCGGTGTTTTCTCTGTGGAAAATAGCAATTTTATCGTTTTCTGTGAATAGCAGCTGTGGGGCGGGTCTTCACCTTTAGCAGCTCTGGGATTGGTCGATCGCTCTCCTGGTAAAAATCCAATCCTGTGATCCACTCAACGTCTCTGAGTCGTGCCTGATGGAACCACATGAGGTCTTCCACCCATTGAGATTCGGCTTCTGTACTCTGTCGGTGCAAAAAAAAAGTGAACAATTGAAGTTTCACTGTAGGTTTGTGATCATGTGTCTCCAAAATATGTCTTTCTTCTAAGTGTTAGTTAAAAAATGTTCCTTTGCATTGCTTCCTGTTCTGTGAACGGTCTAAGGCTAGAGTTGGCGTACTGTACTGTATCTGCTAGGGCTGGTTAGTCAACTAAGCCTCACTATGAACAAAATGTATCTTCACCAATCGGTTTGTCCAATAAATCATCAAGATCTTTGCATTTTGTTGACTTGTATTGCAAGATTACCAGAAATTGAAATATTCTGAACGGTCTAGGCTCCTTTGTGTATCCTTATGTCACAGTAGTGGGGCTTGAGTTATAATTGATTGCCTCCCAAATGCAATGATGTCTGGAATGAGAAGTAATGTTTATTCACATACTGTTTATATATTTTGTGTTCTTTGTAATTACCTTTTCTATCCTTTGATGATGATTTAATTGTATTTGTCTTGCTTTTACTTTCAACATATAAGTTTAATATTAGTGTTTAGCCTCGTGTCTTTTTTGTCTTTTCACAGGTTGAAATTAATGTTAAACTCATGCGTATGTGAGTATAAGTAGGAGTAAGTGTTTTTTACGGTGATCGACAGGTGCAAACGCATTATATAACTGCCAAAACATTTCCATTAGGAGAAACGCGCTGCAGTTTCAAAAACGATGATAATAAATTAATACAAATGTGCCCAAAAAAATGCAAATGAGGAAAGCATCTTCACCAATATGACAAAAAATGTGCAGCATTAAGAAAACATTCACCAATTTACTGAAACATGCGCATGATTTACTACTGTTGCAAGAAAATGCTGCAAATGCAAAGTGCTGCAAATAAAAAATGCTGCAAGAATCTCAAAACACAACGGAAACGGGGACACTAAAAAGTGATGCACATAGCTCGGACTGGAGGGTTTGTTTGGGATTATAGAGTTAGCCTACTGTCCTTGTTTCAGAGTTAGTCTGTTTCATAATTGTAAGTGTTTTCTCAGTATATTTTAAATGACAAGGTTAGCTACGTTAGCTTTCCAGCTTGCAATATCTGCAATAATTTCGTAAGGAATCATGCAATGACATTGTTAAAATAAGCCAATACAACATTTTAGGTGCATTTCCAGTGACAGTTGGCCAATTTATAACTGCCGAAGGTCAACAAGCACTGCAGTCCCAGCTGTGTGTGTGTTACTTTTTAGTGTCCCTGTTTCCATTGTGTTTTGAGCTTTTGTAGCATTTTTTTCATTTTCAGCGCTTTTAGTAAACCCTGCTCATGTTGGTGAATGTTTTCTAAATGCTGCGCATGTGTTGTCCTGTTGGGGAAGATGTTTTAAAATGTTCATGTGTTTTGGCACATTTTTGTTTTTATATTTGCATTGTTTTTTGAGTGTTTCGGGTCGTTGTAGCGTGTTTGCACCTGTCGGCCACCGTAGGATTTCATGTGGAAAAAAGGTTTTAGAAATAAAATTAACCCTCCTGAATTCTTTGGTTTTGGTCTCACCTCTAACGCTACCTCACAACAAACCCAGCCTCTAGAAACATACGTTTTGTGGTGAAATGAATGTTAAAATCAGTGTAGCACTAGCAGGTAATCAAGACCTTTTCATACCATTATTTAATCACTGTTGGATTCAAAGACAACTTTTTTGTAATAAATGGCAAAGATTGGACCGCAGACACAATGGTTCATTTTGGTCTTTTCATTACCTGACAGTAAATTCACTTCCTGAGTGTCAGTAAAAGGGAACATATTGACTGTTACACATGGGTACAGAAGACACTGCTGCTTTGTTCAGGATCATGAAAGGCAGCCAAAGGGAGGCAGTTTCGGACTGAACCGTACAAAGAGTTTCAGTTTATCTGTCTGGTGTAATGTGAGGTGGATGGAAGAGGAGGATTGTGTAATCTTAAAAAGGTTATTTAAACATTGCTGTTCCTTACTTTGCAGCTTTCCGAGTTGTGGGATAAGTGAGGTAGCAGGAAGGAAACACTCTGCAGCTCGCCAGCACACTCGCTTACAGGTTGCTCATTGAACTTGCAGCTGGTCAACACTGCAAAGTAATGTGTGGGGATGGGGATGTTTGTGCCCGACACAAACCTGTAGTCAAATAAAAACACAGTCTTATTCGTTGGAAATGTACAACTTTTTGAAATAGACAATTTGTGTAGGGTCATGGCATTGGCTGTCATTGGCTCTGACCAACACAAGAAAAATGAATCTTTTTAGCCTCTGACCATTTTTTTAAAGTGTCTGCAGTCTGTTGCTCATGGTATTAGTGATGAAGCATACATCATAAGAAATGTTGGTTTAAATGTAATTTATATCAAGTGATGATATTACATTAAGTTAGGATACATATTGCAAAAAAGGGTGGACCATGACAGGTTCCCTGAGAAACACCAAAGGACAATTCTTTTTGTATATGTATGATATACAATGGTAACAAAACAATTAAAAATGTTAAAAGGGTTCAGCAGAGCCAAACCCAGTGCTTAAGGTAATTCATAAGATAATCATTACCAATTAAGTTGAACACAGGACATGAATTAAAAAAAATCAGAACAAAGATCTCATGTGCCCTTCTTATAATTTAAACGGGGGAAAAAAGTAAGTATTCGCAGTGGTTCATAAATCAAGGCTGTCTGTTCCAGAAAAAAAAAAACTGCAATACTACTAACTTCCATAACAAAAATAAACTTCACATACTGTTGGATCTGCTCTGGAGTGTCGCATTGTCCGTCGTAGTTGTAATCGAAGGCGGGTCCTGTCACCACGTTGATGCTGTTATAAATATATGCATATTTCTTCAATAGGGTGTTGTGAAAGTAGTCCCAGATCTCTAAAATAGGAAAGTAAAGCGGAAATTAAAGGGAAAAAAATCTGAGTTGCGTATGTAAGCCTGTAATTTTTGTCGTGATATAACCAGTAACTTACTTTTAAACTCGGGGTACATTGGCACAACATTGCTCATTAGTAGAGCATCATACTTCTGGTCACCTTTTTCATTCAAATCTGCAAAAACACAGCAATAAACTGTCATTATAGGATGTGATAAAATTGTGAAAGGAAAAATTGTAGTAAGCTTGTAAACACAGAGGGGCAACATCAAGAATGCATTGTTGCTGCTGCTGAATTAGACCATACCTTGCATTGATTTGACCCATAACCCATAACTTACCACTATATGCCAAAATCCAGGGTCTGATTCATAAAATATATTGTGGTAATGATATTAAAAGTGAACATATTCTCATAAAGTTTTACATTTGAGTGCAATTACTCCTTTTCTTCTTCAGCACCAACGCTCTTAAGATGCTAATAATTTTGCTGCAACTGTGTGTGGATATTAGCACTTATCTTTTGGACTTGGACTTTTTACAGTATTTGGGATAATTAAGTCAGAACGTATAAAAGTTAGCGCTGAGCTTCAGCCTGCAATGTTCAAAACAACAGATAAAGCCAGAAATCTAGGTGTAGTCATGGACTCTGACCTGAGTTTCAACAGTCACATTAAAACAGTTACTAAATCAGCCTACTATCACCTAAAGAATATATCTAGGATTAAAAGACTAATGTCACAGCAGGATTTGGAAAAGCTTGTCCATGCTTTTATCTTCAGTAGACTCGACTACTGCAATGGTGTCTTCACAGGTCTCACTAAAAAATCTATTAGGAAGCTGCAGCTGATTCAGAACGCTGCTGCTCGAGTCCTCACTAACACTAAGAAAGTGGATCACATCACTCCAGTTCTGAAGTCTTTACACTGGCTTCCTGTGTGTCAAAGAATAGATTTCAAAATACTGCTGCTGGTTTATAAAGCTTTGAATGGTTTAGGCCCAAAATACATTTCTGACCTCCTGCTAAATTATGAACCATCCAGATCTCTCAGGTCTTCAGGGACTGGTCAGCTTTCTGTCCCCAGAGTCAGAACTAAACATGGTAAAGCAGCGTTCAGTTATTATGCTCCAAATATCTGGAACAAACTCCCAGAAACCTGCAGGTCCGCTGCAACTCTGACTACTTTTAAATCCAGGCTGAAGACTTTTCTTTTTGTCGCTGCTTTTAATTTGAATTGAAACTAAGCCGTTGTGTTCATCAGTAAAGTGGAACTTCTGTGTGAACTATTCATATCTTAATGCACTGTAACTTTTTATTCATGTACTTTTTATTCATGTATTTTTTCTTTTAATGTTTCTTTTATTATCTTTTACTGTTTTTAAATGCCTTTGTCTGAATGTCTTTAATTTTTGTAAAGCACCTTGAATTGCCTTGTGTTGAAAGGTGCTATATAAATAAACTTGCCTTGCCTTGCCTTACTTTTGGGTTTACAGCTTTTAAATCTTTCAAATAATGGTTTAAAATGGTCCACAGTTAAACCTCAACCTCACCTTTGTGAAATTAGGCACTCTCCTGCATCATCTTACCTAAACACAGTGTGATGTGTCTAATATAAGTGTTCGGGCATCAGGTCCAACTAGAGAATGCAAGTCCTGAAGAAATTGCTAGTGGGAATGCTTTATGCTGAAAAGCTGACGCTGAATTGCTATTCTGAAATGTAATGTGTAAGAAGAAAGTGAAGAATTTAGATTGAAATGATACATGAACACTGGAGGCTTGAATGTGTGATGAGAGAAGAAAAGAAAGTAAAAAAGCTTGGGAAAGCAGCAGAATATTTGAATGGCAAACTATTGAACTAACTTGATGAGAATGATCTGTCGCCATGGCAACAGTATTTGATGACACCCCATAATACGCTTAAATGTTTTGATGGCTGCATCGTTACCAAACGTGTGAAGTTTTGGGCCGTTTGGAGCATTTTCACTGAAGTTATGAGAAAACCGTGTTTCATAGCGAGCATTGTGTTGCCATGGCAACAGCATTTGAAGACATTTCAAAACTGTCACGTAGATGTCTTCACGGCTGGACTGTTAGCACACGTGAAGTTTGAGCACTTTTTGACTATTTTCATAGGAGTTATAGCATTATCGTGTTTTACAGCGAGGGATGCGTTGCCATGGCAACAGATTTCGAGGAAAACTCACTAATGGCACATAGACATGTTGGGGGCTGGACCATTAACTGTCACCTGAAGTCTGGTGGTGTTTTGACCATTTTCATATCAGTTACGACAACATCATGTTTTTTTGGCGAGGGATGCGTTTCCATGGAAACAGCCTATGGTGAGATCTCAGATTTTGCATAAAGCTGTTGAGGCATGGACCGGTGATATAAGTGAAGTTTGGGGACGATCGGACCGTGTCCATTGGAGTTACAGCGACATCGTGTTTCATGGCGAGGGATGCGTTTTCATGTAAACGGCATATGATGACACCCCATAATTGACATAGAGCTGTGTTAACCTTTATCTGAAGTCTGCTGCTCTGAGCATGTCAGCTGGAGTTATAACATCATCGTGTTCCATGACACAGGTGTTTATATTTGAGCTAACGAGGTGTCCAGAGATCACAGGTTTCCATTGTTCTGAATGAGAGATGAACCTCTTACATGTGAACGTTTTGTGGAAGAACCGTAACAGATATCTGTGAAATTTCAAAGCGTGAAGCATGTCAAGGAAGTTGAACATCTGAAGTGTAATTTTTGTGTACTTTCAGGTTAATAATGTGGCCTTTTTGGCAGTTTAACTAAAGGTGTGCGGCTGCTGTCATGGGGAAAGATGAGGCTGAACTTACAATGGGCTTTAATGGAGGAATGTTGAAAGTTGTTGTCACTTCATGCCCTCAAGAGGCATTTTGTTTAATTTTTTTGCTTAATTTATTTTTATTTTTCAAGCAACGAGATGTTTTCCTACGTTTGTCATGAAAAATGATGTCTCAGGAATGTAGGGTTTGGGAATTATGGCAGGTTTAAAAGAAAATATGAAGGCTAATTTCAATCTGTCCTCCACTCTAGCTGTGACATCACACACTCTAAATCTGAAGAAGGCCTCTTTACCAAGGTCTGAACAATGTTTAATATCTCTAAAAGTACGAATCAGTTTAAAAGTAATAATGTCAGAAAGATGTGTAACATTTTAAAGTTGGAATGAGGTTTCTGAGTGAAAGTATGAATGAACAGTTAGCAGTTGAAGTCGCATGAAGATTGTTCAAGTCTGAAGAGTTTCTCCATTGACTTCCATGTTAAAAATGTGATGAATTATGGGATGTATCTCTGGAATTATGAAAGTTATGAATGAGAAAAGTAATAGCCATCGATTCCCGACCGAGCTGAACGTTTTGATGTTTGAATGGAGTTTCTGCGATGTGGAATGTGGGAGAAGAAGAGGGCCAAAATAACCCGGCGGAATAATAAAGAATTTCGTGCGTCGAAGAACAGATGGTTGGAATGCTGTATCAGCACTCCCACTAAATAATTCATTTACTTTTCAACAACAACAACTGTAGCTTAAATCTTCCTAAAATGCAATATTTTGTGTGTTTCACAAATCTAAACCAGAAATCTAATGATCTAGTTGTGTACTTTATTTATCTGACTGAGACTCTTGATGTTAGTTCTGAATTTGCGTCTTGATTATATTACAAAGGACAACATCATCTGCATAAAGCTGAAAGCGCTACAGTAATTTCACAAACTGGACCCTCTTTAGACATGCATCTCAACACTCTGTTTCTCTTTTTTGTGGTATTAATTAAAGATGCCAATTACATAAATAAAAGTAATCAGACATATTGTGACACATTTTACCATAAATGAATAAGGGGCAGAAAACATACAATTACACCATATAAAAAATAAAGAAAAAAGAGAAAATTAAATTTAAAAAAAAAGAGTCATAGTGCTAAATTAAGATCTAATTTTAAGTTGAAGAGTCTGGGGAAGTAACATTTGTATGATATAATTGTTCTTATCACGAGTAAAAACGCAGTGAAGGCGTGATAGAGACACGGACAGGCCCCTGTGTCAACAGAGTGTTTTAAGTAGTGATTTAGAATTTGTGAACGATTACACATCATTCAATTTTTCTGAAAAGGTGTGTGTCAGAGAGTGCTATGGGGGACAATAATGTATTAGCTCACATCCCTTTAAACACTAAGAATCAAACCAAACATTGTGAAAGTATGTGCCTGTGTGAGGTATGTGCGTACTTGGTGGGTGCAGGAAGGCGGTCGTCAGGTTCCCTGGAGCTATGTAGTGGTCACATCTGGCACTGTTGGATGCTGGGAGTCTGACGTCAGCCCTCAAACAGTCTGGTGTAACCGGTGGTAACGGGTCCAGGTTTGTCTACAGGAATGGGAACACGTAAACTTAAGTTAGTTACAGTAATGAGCTCAAGACCAACAGTTGTCCCTTTGTCTCTTTACCAAGAAACATAACTTTTCCAGGGATGTTGGTAACTCTGTGCTTTTCTTTTGTTTGATACGCCAACGCTTTGAGTTCTAGCTAATCTGGATATTTATCTATTTTTACTGGAACTAAGTAGCTAAAAACTTTAGAAAAATGCAGAAAACTGTGCACATTTTTAGCATTAGTTTATGGTCATTGAATTAAATAGAATTTATCAATGTTGAATTCATATAAATTAAACAACACTGACATCAAGCCAAGAAAGCCCAACCAGACCTATAATTAAAAACATTCACAATGCGTCAATGTCATCAGATCCACCTCAATGATGAGTGGATATCGAAGATCCTGTGATACACCTGAATACACCACTAAAGGCTAAGTGAGTCTGGACTTTAATGTTCTTTGAAAGTAAAAATAAGCATTACCAAGGTAAAATGTCCACTCCTCTTAGGCTGATACTGATATCGTATCATGGGGAACATTCTTGAGTTTGTACGTTTTTTTGGTTCACATCTACTTCTATAGTTTTCGATCACTAAGGGTAGGCTTTCTTCACATTGACCCTGGGTTTATTGGAGGTTATTCAGTTCACCTGGATTTTAGACTTTACAGACCATTTACATGCAAAATCTATATAACACACTACAGGAAAGGGATACCCAAAAAAGAATAATAGGGCCCCTTTAACTTAGGGCCTTTTAACAAGTCTGTGCCTTTTTTATAATATTATTGCTAGAGTTCATGGCCACGTTATAATTTCGTTTTTTTAAACAACCTTCATACAGACTTAATCATCGATGAGCTGTTAAGTTATTTTAGAAAAGGCATTTGTTCATTTTTAAACAAGCATTTTATCAAAATTAAGGCAAGGCAAGGCAAGTTTATTTATAGCACTTTTCTGTACGCGACAATTCAAAGTGCTTTACAAAACAAATTCAAATACTTTTTAGGAATAAATACATTAAAAACACATTATACAATTTTACAACAAAGCAAAGATAATAAAATAATAAAATAAACACCACAGGTAAACAATACATGTTTAAAAGGCATACTGTAGTTCGAATATTGAGCATCTCAATTAAAAGCAGCGGCAAAGAGATATGTTTTTAGTCTCGATTTAAAAATAGTGAGCGTTTCTGCGGACGTGCATGATTTGGGTAGTTTATTCCAGAGTGTCGGGGCATAATGGCTAAATGCTGCCTCTCCATCTTTTGTTTTTACTCTCGGAGCCGATAGCAGACCCGTCCCAGAAGACCTGAGGCACCTTGATGGCTCGTAATTATGCAGGAGTTCAACAATATACTTTGGTCCTAAACCATGTAATGATTTAAAAACTAGCAGTAGTACTTTCAAATCAATTATTTGGCCGACTGGAAGCCAATGTAGAGATTTGAGAACCGGACTGATGTGATCCACTCTTTTAGTGTTAATTAAGGAGAAATATTTTCATTTTGACGGCTAATTTTGGTTACATGCAGTTGGTAAATTGTTCACTGGCTTGTTCTTGGTCACTTTAAATCTGGGGAACCAGTTCCACCTCATAACAAAAGCAAACCTTTCAGAATATGTTCTCCCTCTCCATTGAAACACTCACTGGCTTGTCGATGGTGAAGGAGCTCCACAGAGGCATCAGGGCTGTGAGGCTGTAGGCGGTGATGAATCCCTCCTGGGGGAGGACACAGTAACTCTTGTTAGGCTGCAGCATCCGAGGGCGGCCCTCCGGAAAGTGCTTCTTCTTCGCAGCAAACTCTGATAAAACAAAAGTGCACTTCCCTTTACATTGTCCTTTAGGAGGGATTTGAACAATTCTGGAAAATAAGTAGGAAGATGAATAGGGAAAATAAATGAGACTGATCAATTTCATCAGCTGTGATGTTACACGTCATCATTGCAAATAAAAATAGCCTGATTTAAAGGAAATTATCTAAATTCCAAAATTCGAGAAAAGAAAAGATCTAAGATACATTTAAGGTACAGAATAACTGTTTTTTAAATGCCAGTGAACCTCCTCACCTTGCTCTGCTGTCAGATTCAGACGGCTGTTGATTGAATTGTCACTCTAAAGAGAACAAGAGAAAACAAATGATGTTAATGAATTTATTGATTTGGGTCTATTTCCATTTTTAAACAGTATCCAATCCAATAATTCAGTAAAAAAACAAACAGCTGATATATATGCTTGCCTGTAGAAAGGAACTCATGGATTATTAAGGTAAAGAATAATTAAAACCCCCTCTTATATACTTAAAAAACTTTCCAGCTTCCATCCCTCATAAAAAAGGACTGAGTGGATATCTTTAGGGGCAAAGTAGCGAGTTGAAAAATAAGAATGTTTGGTTTGGTGCAGATGGGTTCGTGTAATAACATTTTGCAGTAGAGTAAGCATCTGCCATTTTACCGACCATAATCGTGGTTTATGTAATTAAGGGTTTTAGTTGCCTTTCCCTAATCATATCTAGCCATAATCTATTTTCTATTAACAAAGTATTTCCTTACCATAGTTAGTGTGTAAGTAAGTTAGTTAGTAAGTTAGCTAACTATGTGTAAATGTGGCAGAAAAGGAAAAAAAACTAAATTCAATAGGTCATAATCCTTATTTTTAACTAACATCGCAAATGTAAGATGCATCTATTTAATTAATAAATGTATTCTGCGACATAATGTGTCAAGGAGAAGTCTGTAATCCTGAACAGCTGCAGTTTTTAAGCAATTGTTTTTGGTTGGCATGCCAACCAAAAACAATTGGAGATTGGAGAACCAAACCAGAAAACAGATGTGCAGCAGCAACTCTACTTTAACCCTGTAAGGCCCACTGTTGTAATTTTACAACATTACTTTAAGCTATCCTAAAAAAGTAAAGACTACATTTACATAGTCAATAGGTCATTTTGTTCAGCCTCACAATGCTATTGGGTAGTAAATGTGTTTATAGGTCCTGCCCTCTGGCCATACACTGTAGAGTTATTTATTCATGTTAGCAAACTATGGATAAGCTTAAAATGGGAATAATTTGGGTAAAACTGTGAGCTGCATTTGGGGCCTGTTGACATGTGTTTTTGAGGACAAAGGAAGATGGGGGAAGGTGAGAGCATGTCCTGATTTGCATTCAACTTAGAACGAGCTACAGTGGTTGTGATGTTAAGAGAGGTCCCTTGGGTTTCTCTGGTGCTTATCAATAGTAGCAGTTAAGTGAATACTGTTCAAACAATACCTGTGTTTGTGTTTTATATTGATTTCTCTGTTTTATCCTTTCATAAATGTAAGGACTACAAATGGCTATAAACATTCTGGGCTGGTTGGAGTAAACAGGGTTTTATGGCTCTGTGGGGGAGGTGTAGGTATGCAGGCCTTGAGACCTTTTGTTGTAAAGTGAGCCTGTTTGGTTTCCTGCTGCGTTTCCTGCTGCGTTGCGTCTCCCAATGAGAGGACCTGAACAGATGACCAGCTGACCTAACACCAAACCCCTCCTTCTTACTCTGGTATATATCCGGTGGATCCCTGGCGTTCGGCCTCTTCTTCACATGCTGCGCTCGGGTGAAAGTAGCTCTGCAGTATGCGGACTAGAGCAGGAGTAAGCCGGCATTACTCCTTAAGCATTGCAATATAACTGTAATATATCATGTTGTATTGTAATGATTGTATTGCATTGTCATATTGCCATTAAAGTAGATTATTGTTAACGGTTACTTTGTAGATATGGATTCCTTCCTGTATTATAACCAGCTTCATAGGAACGCGCGGAGATTTGAAAAGCGGATCAGATATCCCTTCAAATCCCCAACAACACTCACACAACTTCAGAATCTTCAAACGAGCAATTAACATTAACGTTTTATTGGACTGGATTTGTCAGATTCAAGTAAGTAAAATGCCTCAAATATTTTTTTTTTGTGATTATTACAATGTCTAGAACATGTACATTTAGTTATTGTGGAACACATTAATCAAATTGGATTTTGAGCACCTTATGTCTTTGTTGTAATATTACAACACTGGGTCAGTGTGGTAGTCAAAATAGCATGAACACCTGTCATGGACCCTGCCCTTCTTATATGTTCACATATGGAAATCAAAACACAAATAGAAATATAATGTCTTTGATAATTCACTATAACTAAGTTCTAAATGTGTCCTCTGTTAAGATTTTGAATTAAGACCAGAATTGAATACATTAATACATTATTTCTGATAAAAGTATGTGAAATTATATCTCTAGCAATATTTTAAACTCTACTTGTATCTTATCAGTTAATTCGTTACAACAATTCATTTAACTGTTCTCTGGTTCTGGCAGAAACAGTTCTTTCTGAAATGTGTTGGGACACTTGGATGTATCCCTTTTAGTATGATAATTACCTTGTTAGCATGAGCAAGACAGCATTGTGTGACTTGTTGAACTGTTTTACCTGCATGTATGAGTATAGGTATTCCTTTTATTATGATAATATGCAGGATTGCGTGACTTATTGAACTGGTTACCTGCATGTATGGGTATACTGTAGGTATTCCTTTTATTATGATAATATGCAGGATTGCGTGACTTATTGAACTGGTTACCTGCATGTATGGGTATACTGTAGGTATTCCTTTTATTATGATAATATGCAGGATTGTGTGATTTGTTGAACTGGTTTATCTGCATGTATGGGTGTAGGTATTCCTTGTATTATGATAATAGGCTAAGCCAGGTCGTATTGTGTGACTCAAGTGTACAATGTAAATAGGATTCAGATACTTGTTGCATTGGGACACCTGGAAGGAGGTGGTGCATGCATTCCTTTTATAATAGGCTAAGCCAGACAGAATGAACACTTGTCCCACCCATCTATTCCTTCAGGTAATCTATTACAATATAATAAGCATATGTATTATTGATACATATTAATTACTTTTTCACAACAACTTGACAGTGTCAGAGATGTAAAAGAAAGACAAACTCTGGAAACTCAGACCCTGGCTTGATACATTCAGAGAGAAATGCCTGCAGGTGGTACCAGAAGAACACAACTCTGTGGATGAGATGATGATTCATTTCAAGGGGAAATTCAGCAGCATCAAGCCGAGTGGAGACCAACCACAACATCTGTGCTGTCAAATGGTATGACAGCAGAGCCACACTTGGACCACACCTTGTGCAGAACATTCAACGCTGGGACAAAGCCAACAAAACCTACGTAGAAGTTGAGAGGCCTTCCATTATGGCTACGTACAACAAGTACATGGGAGGTGTGGATTTGTTGGACTCGTTTACGGCCAAATATAAGTTCCCCATGAAGTCCCGACGCTGGTACGTGTACATCTTCTGGCACACCATCATCCTTGCTGTGATCAACGCCTGGCTCCTCTACAAGCGGGACTGCAGAGCTCTAAAGATGGCAAAGCAGGAGATCCTGAACAGGAGACAGTTTCAGGCAGATCTAGCATCCTCTCTCATCCTGGTAAGAATGCATTTCTGCTATTTGCCGTTTGTAATATTTTTTTATATTTCACTGTAATATTTTTGACTTGTATCCTAATGCATTTTTGTTTTAATCAGGTGAACACAACTCCCATGAAAACACCAAAGAGAGGACGACTATCTTCAGGCAACGGGAGCCCAGCACCGACGGTGACATCAAGGAGCCCGTTGAATGCTCAGAAGAGACCATCCTCAGGTGATGGGAGTCCACCAAACGGGGCCCCATCCAAGAGATCACAACCTCCACTGGATGTACGCAAGGACCTAATGGCACATTTTCCAGGGAAGACCAAGAGAGGGTACACAAACACCCAATGCACCAAGTGTGACGTCCGTCTGTGCTTTTCCGACGATAGGAACTGTTTTTTGGACTACCATATTAATAATTAATAAATGACTATTCATAAAAAATATGACTGATGTGTGATTATTATTCATGCTATATACTGATATAGGGCTAAGTAAGCAATCAATCCTGCAAATCAACCCTTAGTTGTTCAATATATTTATTCAGACAATGTGAGTAGAAAACAGGAATTCTGCTCCCACCTAAGCCCAACGTTGCAATATTACAACATTTCGCTAAAAACTTACCAAAACGTAAAAAATGCCTACAACAACATCTGAAAGGTGAAAAAAAAAATAATTCTAATGTTTTCCTATTTTTGGGCTTTACAGGGTTAACAGCACTGTTTTTTTCTAGGTTAATGAAGACTCTAAGAAAACCTAGTTAACAAAGCTCAATTTACTTTTCCCAGATTTACAGTTGCAAGGAAATGTTATTGTTGAGAAAACAAAATACAAGGCAACACCATCCAGTAAAACTTGTTGCATAGTGTCTCCTGTGGCTCTGAGTTGAGTCACAAAATAACCGTTAGGTCATGCGCGGTTAAATTGGAGTCACTCCACCCTGTGGGCGCTTTTGAGGTGATGGGAATTGTATGATCGAGTATTTCTAGATATACCCAAACGTCAGCCAAAGTCAGGACCCTTTTTCTGTTTCACAACTTTTGGAAAGTGCAATAGTAAATCAATGGAATAGCCATTTAATCCTATAGTTGACAGGGGTTTTGTGACAAATGTATTATGTAGCGTACAGTAAATGATGCTCAGAAAATGTTCAGTTGGTGCCTCTCACCAGCTGGCATCACAGATAGCTAGGACTGAAACGCTACTGTTAGTGTAGCCGGCTAAAAGTCAAACTGCCTCCACGTCTGTTATTCTTGTTCTATTTTAGGATGAGAAAAGGCTGACCTCATGTTCCCCTGAGTTTCCTATGAGATCACAGTATGTGACACTCTTTTACTCTTAAATGAAATGTCATGTTGAGAGAGACTGGCTGGGAAGTGACCTTATGCCTCATAGGGAACAAAAGCAACGTTATTGAAAGAAAAAAATCATCCATGAATTGCACGAGTATATCTTGTAACTGCATACAATTAGGAGTTTACCGTTACAGGTTCAGTCAATGTCATTCTGTTCATGATCAAAATAACAATGAAGTTTAAAGGGGACCTATCATGCAAAATGCACTTTTGTACGTTTTGAATATGTGTCCCCGGTGTGTTAGGGAACTCACCAAGTGTCAGAAAACACAACTC